AAATATCAGCACTATTATCAAGCATCAATTATAAAAATATACCAAACATGTTGAGTAACATATTTGTCACCGGTTGGAATGAGGTCCAATTGAGCATGCACATAGAAGTGTGCAACTGCTTGGAAGCTGGTGAGACAGCACCACTCTTGTTTTCTTCATCAACCTAGTGAAGTGGGAGGTGAACACTTGAGAATGGTTTCAAGTACCCGCTTCAGATAGTATCTGCTGGGGACTCTGATGGGTACAGCACAGTTATCCAGACACCAACGGATTTGCTTTCATGAGCAAATTTCCCCAAACACTGTGCCTAGTTACTCAAAGTATGATCAGGGAGATGCACGTCAGCGTAACCTTGGATAGAACTTGTTAGAAAGGCAGAATCTCTGCCACACCTAGACCTACTAAATCAGAATCTGTTTTTTAACCAAATACCCAGGTAATATGTATGCGCATAACAGTTTGAAAAGCATAGAATTAATATCACTTTGGAGGGAGGTTTCTACTGAACTCTTCCTTGGGATTCTTCTGTTCCTCACTTTTCTGATGACTCACATGAGGATACTGAAGAGCCCTCATCAAATTCCAACTGACACTAATCTAGAAGAAAACAATTGCACAAGCACCTCTTGAAAGAGACAAGGCTTGAGAGCAGATCGCCTAAAAAGATTTAAACAACCAGGGATTTGCTAAAGACAAAAAAGTAATGCACACTTCAGTAAATTGTTGTAAATCAGACTACTTCTAGAGAACTGGCTATAAATTTAGTCACACATTTTAACAGTGACTACCAACAAACTGGCCACATGTGTGGTGAGGGACAGGGAAGGAAAAAGATCTTGAGAGTCAATTCTATTCTATTCTAAAGAATAGCTGAACTAAAGAACATTAGATATCAAGAAGAGGTGACTATGTGAGTACATCATTATTGAATTCACACATTTGAAAGACTGTCCCAAGACATTTCATTCTACAAATGTGTTTTTGAGCATCTGCTATGTGCCAGGAACTATGCCAGGAGCTAAGGATACAGAGTAAAAACCAGAACTGATCTCTGATTTTCTGATGTTTCCTGCCTAATGGAAGAAATAAGTCTGTTCCAGAAAGCAGAGCTATAGCTAATGAAAGGCAAGTGGAAGGATATGGGTACTATACAAGAAAGTCCCTTCTAGCCAGAGGATACAACTTTGAACAGACAGAAGTGCCCAGGCTTCCCAGGACTGGGAAGAATGGGTTAGGGAGGGGATGACCACCTCTCAAGGAGTAACCCAGGAGACTACTAGACCAAAGCTAATATTCCAGGGGTAGAGAATAATTGGGGTCAATGTCATTAATCTAATATAAGATTTGTTTAGAATTATGCTATATTCAGTTGAACTGAGAATAAATTTCTTAAAACTTAATTACAACTTAATATTACCAGCTAAATTTTGTGCATAATTGTAAACAATGTCCAATTTATCTTTTAGTAATAGTTTCTAAAATCTAACATTTAATAAAAATTCACATTAATATTTTAAGCAACAACTCTGCTTAATGGCTCATGTCAATTGTAATCTTGCTTCTTTTCTACCCCTAAAACTACTATATTTCGTGTTCCTTAGAGTAGCTTCAAGAGTTGCTCATTCCACTTCTGAAATTATCCTAAAGAAAAAATCATTTGCTTTCCTCTTCCTTAAAGAAAAAAAAAAAGAGGAGGGGGGTGGGAAAACTAGTCACCTGAAGATGCAAATGAACAATATTTATAAAGAAAAATAATACATAAACCACTTGAATGTTAAACAAAACCATCAATTCTTTTCATAGAATTAGGCAGGGTATAAACAATAAAAAATAATATCCAATAAGTTGGAGAATATTTAAGATAAACTGAGAAACTATCATATGTAATTATGCAGGCTACATAGAAACACGGAAAAATACTCATAATGACAAGAAAGCAATACAAACTTGTACAGTTCTGGCCATATAAAAATTATGGACACGTGAACAAGAACTAAAAAAAAAAAGTTTATCTTTTAGGGTGTTAAAATTCCTTTTTCAGTTTAAAATTTCTATTTCACTGTTGACTATTCAATAAATACTTTTTCAATGAATGTATGAGGAACCAAAATAACTGTAACTCATTATAAGAATGTGTGCATTAGCAAAAAATGAAATTACAAAGGTGACACATAGTTTGATTATGTTCAGTTGGTTCTTTGTCCTTTATCCTATTTGAGGTCATAAACTACCAAAAGTAAAGATAATGAGATTCATATTATGAAAAATGCTTAACATTTGTGGAAAGTAAAAAGGACTTTGTACAGCAGCCACCCATGAACTTTGGGTAAAAGCAAAACTAAATTTCTGAAGTCTATTTTGCTTTTCACCTTATTTGATCTCACTGAACATCACCCATGCCAAGCTGAGTTTTTTTCCTCCTATTTTCCCTTCTTCTCAAGTTCATAAATTTGAAGAAAAAAATACACAGCAGCTCTGTTACAGTCCTCTTCGTTCTCCCAGCAATGTCATGAAACGTGGCTTTCTGGAATCGGTCACAGAGAGAGTAAGATAAGAATAGTTGTCTACTATCTGTCACCACAGAGATCACCAGGACTAAGTTGACTTAGGGCCAAGAGATCTGGGTTCAAATTTTCCACTTCTATAACACAGAAATAATATCACTTGCCCCGAAAGGTGATGTCACAAGAAAGTCTCTAGCATATAGTGATGCTCAAGAAATGCTTATTTCATCCTTTTTTCCCACTTTCCACTACACACATGCACACAAGTTCTGCCCAGTAAAAAACTGCAGGAGTCTTTATGTCAGTGATTTCCCAGATGCATGCTCCAACTTTCTCCACCCTGCTCTCTTCCTCCACAGCCTAATCCTTATGTGTCACATCAACAGGCCCCTATGCCCTTGACCTCTGATTGGGGTTTAGTCAATGCTAAGTCCCAGAAAGACATGAGTGAGGTAGGAGAAACAAGGGAGGGAGTAAGGTTGGGATATTCATTTTATTTGTGCTGGCTGCATCCCTTATACAAACTCACTGTTCTTCTCAAGACAGCATCTTCCAAATGACAATCTCTTCTGGCTTCTGATAACCACTTCCATCTATTTGTCCCTTTAGTGCTAGTGGTGGTAACTGCCCTACCATCATGATAACCCTGGGTTCCTATCCCTTATGTTTTCCTCTACATTCTACCCACACTTCTTTAAGCAAACTCTCCTGGAGTTATCCTAAGTTAAGAATGCCAACTATTCCTGTTGGGACTCTGACTGATAAAGTCCTATCTATTGCATTCCAGAATCATTTATATCTTCAATCAGCACAAGGAGAATGTGCAGTTCTGGGGTTCATCTCAGACTGAAATGCACATACAGGAAGGACCCGATGATTCTAAAATACCAGACTCTCAAGGCTAACCTGTGCTTTTCCAATGGGCCTGAAGTAGTCCTAAGCAGAGCCACTCTCATCAGACCCCAGAGGAATAACATCAGTTTCTAAACCCTAGAAGTGCTATGAACTGGGGGAGAAGTTCTAGTCATCCCTTTATTTTCAATATTCATTCTCAGTGAGTCCCAGCTTTATCTCAAATTAATAAAGGTGTCCAACTCAATAATTCCTTAGAGACTAGGAAAAGGGGAAACACAGCAGCCTCTAAAACATCCCAGTCTTCCAATTATGTCACTGCTCCAAGTGTGGAGTTGGGAAACAAAGCACAATAATACCCTCTCCAAAACAAAAAGGCTGTTTTAACCTCTGATGCAATGGGGAAAAAAGTGGGATAAGCAATTTCTCCTAACTCCCAGAGTCAGTGAGGAAACTGAGTCCCACAGAGGGTAAGTGTGTAAGGCAGAGCTAGGACTGAATACAGGCATCTGGTTGCCAGTCCAACCTTAGTTACAGCAACCATCTTCTCTCCCACTTGGTCTGTGGTGGTCAGCTTCCCAAAGGCAAGTCAAAGGGAGACCACCCCTCCCACTCCCCCAGTTGAATCCTAGCCCACCACGATGTGTCAGAATTTTGCTAATGTAAGATGGATTTATGAGGTCTAGAGTGGCCCTAGTCATTCCAAGACTGAAGAACTCACAGAACTTTAATCGCTTTACTGGGCCTAATGACATAGATATAAGGACTTCAGCCTTAACTGTGAGTAACCACCATGTGCAGAGCAAGTACTCTTCTAGATGCCCCCATGAGTTTAAAGGACTCATCCAATTCTTTTTTAATTTACATTTTAATTAAGAAGGCCAGAGAACTAAATATGAAGCACAAGAGCAGGGAGTTGTACATAGAGTTTTACCCAGCAGAAAGACGTTAAAGTAGTGTTGTGGCATGTTAAGAGCTCGTGCTCTAGGTCACACTGCAACATATGAAACATGGAGCAAACCCCAATCTTGCTAAGCCTCCATTTCTTTATCATTAAAATGAGGCAACAACACCATCTACGATAAATATGATTAACACAGGGTTGTTGTGTATTAAACTAACTGATATACATAACAGTCCTTAGCAAGCACAGGAACTGGCATGCTGTGAGGGCTAAATGCTCATTCTTATTATCAGACCCAAGTGAAGTTGGTTAAGTCTCCTCTAGCTGGAAATCAAACTCTATGGCCTGACTGGCATCTTACTTGCACCCCAAGACTTAAAAGCCTTTGTTTATTTTTAAGAGGAAGTATGTTACAATATTACCAAATGTAACAGAACATAACAGTAAAAACTATGGTAATAATGATGCTAAGAGTTTCATATAGTCAAAGGCATCGTTGTTTATTGCTGTGTTAGGCTCAGAAAACTAAACATTGCAAAAAATCAAGAAAGATTCTAAAAATCACAGTCATTGGGAAGAAAGTGACTCAACATTTTCTGTGTTTCACTTGCCAAAAAGATAGCCCGGATGTGGAACTGAGAGAGAGATTAAAAAGAAGACGTTTGAAAGACAAGCATGAGAGTTTTGTGAAATTAACCACCCAAAACCTCCCTAAAACTCCAGATGTGTGATTTGTATACCTAAGTGTATGCTGCAGTCTCTACCCATGTCTTCTTTTTCTTTTACCACAATCAGCTGGTTAGCAGGAGGGAAGGATATAAAGGCAGAAGCTTATCTTTCATTCACCCTGTGTGCTACCTTTGACGGCTATCACAGTTCAGGGTAGGAAAACGTTAGTGTTCATCACTATGGAGGAAATTGTGATGTCAAGCCCAGAATTGTGGAATCACAAAATACGAGTCACATGAACAGGTTTGGGGATGGAAACAAGGGAGCAGAGCTCCAAATTACCAGGCAAAAAATGTAAGTCTTTAGAAGCTCTTCTGAAGCAATTCAGATTAAGCCGTTTTTTTCTTTCAGAAGATGGAGGCAATTACTGATTATTTCTACAACCTTTTCTGTTCACAGAAGAGATGATACCAGAATTCCAGCCTTCAGACCCAGTGAATGCCCTATGAAAGAACACACAACCAGATGTAGATACCTTCATTATAAAGTGTGGCTTTCACCTGAACTGGAGAAAGCAATCTTTGTCCTAGATCACAGAGTATTTCATTGTAACCCTATCCTTCAAACACTATTAGACTGGGGAGACAAATAAGTAAACAGGGTGCTAAGTGCTATCATAGAGGCATCTACTTTATGCTCCAGGAGAAATGGAAAAAGAGGACAAGTGGCGCCTAACCCAGCCTGAGGGGTCAGAGAAGGCTTCTGGAGGAAGGGGCACCTGAGATGAAGCTGGAAAAGCAAGTAGTTTTGACCTGATGAAGGACGGAGGGCTCATTCTGTGCAGAAGGGCACAGGGGAAACAGGAGGACCAACTGGAAACCCGTAACCCTAGGGAATACTGTCATTTTAGGGCCAGTCTGGGGACTTGGGGATCAGAAAGAGGCCACAGGATGAGGGGCCAGAAAGACAGAAGACCTAAGGAGGACAGCATTTCAAGGCAGAAATGGCTCATAACTGTGAATGGATGCAAGTCAAGTCAGGTGAAGGCTAAAGGCCTGGACTAAGCTAACCACAAATGTCCTTAAGTGCCCTTTGCCCGAGACATTTCAGGGAAGCGGCAGTGACAGAGGCCAGGGCACATAGGGTTGAATTGCAGGAGGTGAGGAAGCAGAAACCATGGATAAGGCTACTCACAGGAAGCCTGGCTAAGAACAGGGAGTGAGCTAACAGGAAATACAGGATCAAGTTTTATTTTCCAACCTGAACCTTAGCCCTGAGTTCCAGACTTTCATCTCCTCTCAAATTCCTTCTTTTCCTTGCCCGCTACACTCAGTTTACACTCTGGCCTCCCTCCACTATTCCCATACAAGAGCCTGGGTAGTCTTTTAAAACTAAAAATCAGACCATCTTATGCCCCACTCCTAATGTACAATGGTTTCCTGCTGACCTTAGAATAAAATTTAACTCCTTGCCATACCCTGATAAGTTCTTGGGTGATGTGGATCCTGCCTCCCTCTCCAGCATCTTCTCATGCACCTCTCCCTCCTGTTAATCATGTACCAACCTGGTCTCCTTTCAGTCCTCGAACCCTCTAACACATTCCTGCCTTAGGATCTTGCCCTCCCTCTTCCAACAGAAGCAGCCAAAGGGTGAGTCCCCTATAAAGGAATAGGCCACCACCAAGGTCTTCCTCCACCCTGTGCCCAAGGGTTCACCTCAAACAAATGCCTTCAGAGTCCCAGTTTTCCAGCCCTCCAGGTGGGGTATTTCCTGGCTCTCAGCAACAGGGGCTTTGATGTCAAAAGACCCAGGCCCTACCTAATTTCTCTGCTGCCTGTTGTGTGGCCGTTCTCAAGGCACTACCTCATCAGTTTTCATATCTTAAAAAATGTCAACAGTGTCTGCCTTCCCAGCTGTTGGGAAGCTTATCTCAGAAGGTGTGTAATCACCCAGTTCTTACCTGTATCTCCCCTGACCCAGGGGCCTCTCTCCAACCTTTTCATCACTTACCCTCACCAGGAACCAGTCCTAGGCCCCTCAGCCCTTCCCAAGTTCTGTCCATCAAGGTAGTTGCCTCTCCGTTTCCCCTCAGGTTGCATAGATCCTGCCTCACTCTCCTCAGAACCCCACCACCAGCATTCTGTGCAAACAAACACCCACATAGTCCAAATTCATCACCTATCTAGTAGATGCCTCTTTTCAACCATCTCTTCTTTGGTCTTAGGTCACTAGCTCCCATCCTAGGCCTGGTACATAAAGTCCTCCCAGACAAATATCCCCTCTCAGTATCTTCCTCAACCCTGCTAGCTGGCCATTGACACCCAAGGCAGCCTTGAAAACCATGGTCTGAAGATGGCAGAGCACCACTACTCTGGGTTCCCTCCATCACCACAACTGACGGGATTACAAATGCGCACGGAAATGTCTATTGTTTTACTGTTACAGTAGCTAGCATTTTTCTATGCAACACAGGCTGAATTCAGATGGAAAGAAGGGGAAAAACTCTAGTGGTAATGAAGAAAGTTTGTACAAAAGCTGGGATTAGACATGGCCTGATGACCACCTCCATTCATGTTATTTATCCTCTTTTAAGTACTTCATAACACGTTTTCTCATTTGTCACACCTTCATCATCACATACTATTGTTATTATTAACAGTTTACAAATGAGGAAGCAGACTTAAAGACATTAAAGTATGTCCAAGGTGCCATAGCTAGTAAATGGAGAAGCCAAGACTGGACCCCAGGACTCCTGATTCTTAGTCTAATGGCATCCAGTCTCTCAAAGCTGCATTCTAATGCTACATCAGAGACACTCTTGGCTGAAGTACCAGGGTGCTGGAATGAAACAAAAAGGATAAGTAGTCTGGTAGAATTGATTAAAGGCAGACTGTGGAGTATAGCTTACATTCAATAGACAATGGGGAGCAATAATCAACTCCCAATTCCACGCTCCATGGCAGTAATTTTATACCTCCTCTTCTGCCTTTAAAGACATTACTTCACCACCTCCCTCTGGCTATCAGTTGGTGCCAATAGTCCTCTTCAGAAAGAAAATAGAAGTTTTTCAGAGGGCAGAACTTCCAGTCTCTTGCCTTCTATAAACTTCTCTGTATCTTTGAATAGCCTTTCCTCTTTCCACACTGTCAAATGGGAGAGGCACCCCTTCTCTGGCAATGCTACTAGCCATCCCTTGTGTACAACCCTCCATCCATGAAAAAGATCCTACTCAATCATTATCCTTTCTCTTCCTTGAATCTCTGGCTTCTTCCTTTCTTCTGGCTCTTTCTTTCCTCAGCCTTTGAACAGGCTAGAGCCCCTCTCACCCTTACATAACCCCCTCCTCAGGAAGCCCACAGTCCTTTCTTACCCTCACGCTTCCTAGCTGAGCTCCTTTAAGAAGCATCAGCAGCAAACACATATCTCTACTTCATCACCATGGATTCTCTACTTCATCCACTCTAATAGTGGGATGCTGAAACATTTACCTCTAATGATACTTAAGAGCTAGATCCAATAGACAATTTCCAACAGATCTCTTACTTTAACTTTTTATGGCACTTGACGTTGCTGCACTCTCTCCTTGAAATTCTCCTTTGCCTTGATTTCTAAGACCCTGCTCTCTCCTGGTCTTCCTCCCCTTCATCTATTCCTTCCTTCTCTCCCTCTGCTTTTGCCTTAAATGTTGGCATTTCCTGAAGTTCCATCTTTGTACTTCCTCTTACCTTACATACTCTACTTTCTCTGTTTGAAATCATCTAAAATATAGCTTCAACTTACAACCACACACTGGTGACTTCCATACTTAGATATTTCCAGTCCAGAACACTCATGTGAGCTCTCTACAATCTGGCTACTTTTGCCTGCCATTATCTCCACTTGGATTCCATGGGTGTCTTAAACTCAACATGGCTATATATAATGAGAGAATTTATTGAGTATTGCATCAGGATTCTATAAAGAAACAAAACCAATATGAAACACACCAATGTGTATACGTGTGTAGGAATACATGTTCATATACACAGATACTAGGTGATTTACTGTAAGGAATTGGCTCATACAATTGTAGGGGCTGACAGATCTGAAATCTGTAGGACAGGGCAGCAGGCTGGAAATTGAGGAAAGAACTGCAGTTACAATCTTGACTCCTTCCCTACTCAAATAGGCACCCTGGAGATGGGTCTGGCCTCTCGCCTCTATATCCTTGACATCTTGCACAGGACTAACATACAGCAGAAGCTCAATAAGGGCTGGCTAATGGACAACTAGGTATAAAGGAAATGTTATTAAGTGAAAATGGTACAACAGGACATGGAAGGCACCAACTCAAGATGAAGAAGAATCAGGACTTGAAGAAGGGCTATGCTACAATTCAAGATATAGCTCTTCTGGGACATTCATTTGCCCGAATCACCTGACCACTACACTATGACTGAACAAGGGCCATCACACAGATAGAAGCATATCCTGTCCAATATGCTATCTGAATGTTTCAACAATGCTGTGAAGTTGGCAGGGCAAAGAAAAGGTCACATTTTATTAGTAAAATATAAGTTGAGAAAGATTAACTGTCTTGTTTAGGTTGCCACAAAAAAAATACCTATAATGAAAGCTCTTAGTTCTTTGGTGATATACAGGTAAGAAAGACCACAAAAACAATAGAAAGTCAGAACCAATAAATAACAGTGCAATTCAAGACTTTTTATCTACCTAAACCTGCAAAAAGTAATCTACTACTTACAAAGGATAATTTTTATTTTATTTGTTTTTTTGTTTTTTTTTTTTTGAGTCGGAGTCTCACTCGGTCGCCCAGACTAGAGTGCAGTGGCCGCTCCTGGCCACTGCAGCCTCGACCTGCTGTGCTCCGGCGATCCTTCCACCTCAGCCTTCCAAGTAGCTGGACCTACAGGCACGTGCTACCACGTCCGGCTAATTTTTTGATTTATTGTAGAGATGAGGTCTCGCCAAGTTGCCCAGGCGGGTCTCAAACCCGCGGGCTCAGGCAATCCACTCACTTCAGCCTCCCAAATCGCGGGATTACAAGCTGAGCCACCGAGCCCATCTTTATTTTATTATTTTTTTTTTTCAGATTAAGTCTTATACTATATCATGATATGTACAAGATTATTGGAATTATCATATATCCATTGTTGGAATTATACATTTCTGATTATATAGTATATATCTAGAAGCATTTCTTTCTGAAATGCCAGTATGTATAAAATCT